CCCATCTGGGCGCTGGTTCCAGACCCGGCTGCTCCGCTTCTGATCCAGCTCTCTGCTATGGCTTGGGAAAGCAGAAGATGGCTCAAGTCCTTAGGCCCCTGCACCCACGTGGGAGAACCGGAAGAAGCTCCTGGCTTCTCTCTCTCTCCTGTCTCTGTGTAACTCTGACTTTCAAATAAATAAATAAATGTTTTTTAAAAAATAAAAGCTGTGAGAAGGGCTGGCGCTGTGGTGCAGTGGGTTAATCCTCCACCTGCAGTGCTGGCATCCCATGTGGGCGCAGGTTTGAGTCATGGCTGTTCCACTTCCGATCCAGCTCTCTGCTGTGGCCTTGGAAAGCAGCAAAGGATGGTCCAACTCCTTGGGCCCCTGCACCTGCGTGGGAGACCCAGAACAAGCCTTGGCTCCTGGTTTTGGATTGGTGCAGCTCTGGCCATTGCAGCCATTTGGGGAGTGAACCAGCGGATGGAAGACCTCTCTCTGTCACTGCTTCTCCCTATAACTTTCAAATAAATATTTTAAAATATATTTTTAAAGATTTATTTATTTGAAAGTCAAAGTTACACAGAGAGAGGAGAGGCAGAGAAAAAGAGAGCTTCCATCCAATGGTTCACTCCCCAATTGGCAGCCATGGCTGGAGCTGTGCTGATCTGAAGCCAGGAGCCAGGTGCTTCTTCTGGGTCTCCTGCACAGGTGCAGGGGCCCAAGGACTTGGGCCATCTTCCACTGCTTTCCCAGGCCATGCAGAGAGCTGGATTGGAAGAGGAGCAGCCGGGACTAGAACCAGCACCCATATGGGATGCTGGTGCTTCAGGCCAGGGCATTAACCCGCTGCACCACAGTGCCAGCTCAAATAAATAAAATCTTAAAAAAAAAAAAAAGCTGTGGGAATGGATGGCTTATCCAGGCAGTGCTTGCACATGCACTACGAGATGCAGGCTCAGTAGGGAGACTGGTGGACTCCATGCCGGGGTGGGAATGTCCAGCCCGCAGGCCGTGTCAGGCCCGCGAGATCGTTTGGTCCGGCCCCGCCAAGGCAAATGCAGGCAGGACTCGCGATCAGCACGTGTGCAGCAGGCTGACTTTCAGGTTGGTGACTGTGGACGGCCTGCGAATGGCGGTGTGAACATCCAGATGGTCCTTGGGAGCAAGAACCCCTCCTCCGCCCAGCAGGGTCGAGGTGAGGGGGGAGGAAGTCAGCAAGTCTGACAGGCGTAGAGGGTGGCAGGGAGCGTGAGGGGTCACAGGGCTAAGACCGGGCTGCTGGGGCCGCCGGGTTGGTCAGCGAGGATGTCGCCGAAGCCTTCCTGATAGCTCTGGGATAGAGCATGCAAGCCAAATTGCAGTGAGCTGGAAAGCAGGCACTTAAATTTCAAGCCGTATGTGGAGTTGCTTATCCTGAAAAATCCTCCTGTGTGATGTGCCTGGAAGTTCTGCATAAATATAACAAATCACCATCTTCTAGTGCATGACTGGGTACCCCAGAGCATGAAGGAAACCCTGGGGGTGAAGCCCCAAATCCTAGCTGATTAGGAACCGGTGGTTGCCCTGCAGGCGCCCCAGTCTTGGCAACTAATAAAATGAAGTTTAAGTCCCCCAGGAAGCGAGAGCAAGCCCTGGAGCCCTGCAAGGTCAGGAGCTAGAGCTGAGGCCTGCCTGTGGGGCACTACACGAGTAAAGTGGGAAAGGGAGAACCTGCCTCCTGGTCAAGGAGGTGACCAAACCAGCCTAAACTTTGTTTTTGTATAATTGGAGAGACAGAGCTGAGGCAGGTGGAGCAGAGAGCGTGCACCAGCACTCTCCTGTCCGTTGGCTCACTTTCCAAATGCCCATGAAGGTGGCGCTGGGCCAGGCCAAAGCTGAGTCAGGAACTCAATGCGGGCCTCCCCTGTGGGTGCCGGGGACCCAGGCATGTGCGCCATCACTGGGTCCCTCAGGGTCTTGGGTGAGCAGCACGCTGGACTCAGCAGTGGAGTGCAGACTGAGGCCCAGGCGCTCTGGTACGAGATCTGGGCGACCTGACTGGTAGCTTAGCCACCAGGCCAAGCGTCGGCCTGAAGATCGTCTTTCTTGACTTAGGCTCTGGGTGCAGGAAAAAACTAAAGACTTTCCTAGTGTTGAAAACTATACTTTGCCATGCATGTGTTTGGGGTTCAAAATTGTGTTGCCTGTATGCCAGGATAATCCCTAAGGAATTCAGCTCCAGGGTGCATGGTCTGACGGTGCAGGGGTGTGGAGGAGGCTCAGGTGCGGCGTGTGTGGTCCTGATGTGCAGGGGTGTGGAGGAGGCTCAGGTGCGGCGTGCGTGGTCTGACAGTGCAGGGGTGTGGAGGAGGCTCAGGTGCGGCGTGCATGGTCTGAGCACACAGGGGTGTGGGGGAGGCTCAGGTGCGGCGTGCGTGGTCCTGATGTGCAGGGGTGTGGAGGAGGCTCAGGCGCGGCAACAGGAATCCCGTCTGGGAGGACTGAGCCTGTACACAGGCGCCCATGCCTCACCAGAGACGAGCAGGCGCTGATGTCGCTGTAACCGAGTCCGTGGAAGACAGTGAGCTGTAGAGATAGTTGGTCGAGAGCATGAGGGCCTGGTCTTGCCGATCAGTGAGGACTACGTACGCTGGACGCGATCTAAGGTAGAAAGGAAACAGGAAGGAGCAGGCGCCATCCGGGAGGCGGGAAGATGTGCGGTCCGCACGGTGCTTGCGGCGGCGCAGGTGGAGCTGATGTGGATGCACAGCGATGCCAGGACGGCGCCGGGAGCCTGCGGGCGTCTAAATGCAGAGCAGTGCAGAGAATCTGCCGAGGATATTCGGGGCCACGGCCGGCACGTCCAGCTCGGGGCGACCTGATGCAGTGGGCGGGCAGCAGGGCCCCAGCTTCCATGAGGACTGCACAGGGCGCGGCGCGGACCCAGGCCAGGGGCTCACACCGTGGAGGGGTCTGAGCCGGGTGCCCCCGAGAGGAAGCACGTCTGAGATCAGGGCAAGCAAAGGAACGCGCGGAGCGGGGCGACCGCGGCCGGCGCAGACGGCCCTGGGACGGAGCGGGGCGACCGCGGCCGGTGCAGACGGCCCTGGGATCGAGCGGGGCGAACACGTGGCCAGCACCTAGACGGCCCTGGGACGGAGCGGGGCGACCGCGGCCAGTGCAGACGGCCCTGGGACCGAGTGGGGCGACCCCGGCCGGCGCAGACGGCCCTGGGACGGAGCGGGGCAAACGCGGCCAGCGCAGACGGCCCTGGGACCGAGTGGGGTGACCACGTAGCCAGCACAGACGGCCCTGGGACCGAGTGGGGCGACCACGTGGCCAGCACAGACGGCCCTGGGACCGAGTGGGGCGACCGCGGCCGGCGCAGATGGCCCTGGGACCGAGTGGGGCGACCACATGGCCAGCACAGATGGCCGGCCCTGGGACGCAGCCGCACGTGCGGTGGCTGGCCCGCCCCTCCCGCCTGGAGCCCGCGGCCGCCAAGCCCTGGCCGTCTGGCAGGCCCCGCCCATGGGCTCCGCCCCGGGGGCCCGAGGCCGGTGCGCAGGCGCGCGCGTGCGCGGTTGCTCCTGAGCGCCGCCGCCGAGCCCCGGCGCCATGTTGGCACCGAGGGGAAGGAGGCGAAGCGCTTGAGGCCGCGGGCGCGGAGCAGGGTCCACCAGGGCTGGAAGAGCGCCGCCCCTGCCGCCGCCTCGGATCATGCCCCGGGCGGCCGCCGCGGAGGCTGGGGTGGGGGCGGAAGGGCCCTGGCGGGGCCGGCGCTAGCGATGATGCCGTTCCCGGTGCCGGCCCCGGGCGCGCCGGCGCAGGCGCCGCCGGAGAAGCGCTATGGCATCTCGTCGCCGATCAGCCTGGCCGCCCCCAAGGAAACCGACTGCGCGCTCACCCAGAAGCTGATCGAGACCCTGCGGCCCTTCGGCGTGTTCGAGGAGGAGGAGGAGCTGCAGAGCAGGATTTTAATTCTGGAGAAGTTAAATAATCTGGTCAAGGAATGGATACGAGAAATCAGTGAAAGCAGGAGCCTTCCGGAAGCCGTGGTCGAGAGCGTGGGCGGACGGCTGTTCACGTTCGGCTCCTACCGGCTGGGGGTGCACACCAAGGGCGCCGACATCGACGCGCTGTGCGTGGCGCCCAGGCACGTGGATCGCAGCGACTTCTTCACCTCCTTCTATGACAAGCTGAAGCTGCGGGAAGAAGTCAGAGACTTAAGGGCTGTGGAGGAGGCGTTTGTCCCAGTCATAAAACTGTGTTTCGATGGGGTGGAGATCGACATTTTGTTTGCGAGGTTAGCCCTGCAGACCATTCCGGAAGATCTGGACCTGAGAGACGACAGTTTGCTGAAAAACTTAGATATCAGATGCATAAGAAGTCTTAATGGTTGCCGGGTAACTGATGAAATTTTACATCTGGTACCAGACATTGACAACTTCAGGTTAACTCTGAGAGCCATCAAATTGTGGGCCAAATGCCACAATATCTACTCCAATATATTAGGTTTCCTTGGAGGCGTCTCCTGGGCTATGCTGGTGGCGAGAACTTGCCAGCTGTATCCGAATGCAGTGGCATCAACTCTTGTACGTAAGTTTTTCTTGGTGTTCTCTGAATGGGAATGGCCAAACCCGGTGTTGCTGAAAGAGCCCGAGGAGCGGAATCTGAATTTGCCTGTTTGGGACCCCAGAGTGAACCCCAGTGATAGGTACCATCTCATGCCCATAATCACCCCGGCGTATCCCCAGCAGAACTCCACCTACAACGTGTCCGTCTCCACCAGGATGGTCATGATTGAGGAGTTCAAGCAAGGGCTTGCTATCACGCATGAAATTTTGCTGAATAAGGCGGAGTGGTCCAAACTTTTTGAGGCTCCAAGCTTCTTTCAAAAGTACAAGCATTATATTGTACTTTTGGCAAGTGCGCCAACGGAAAAACAACACCTGGAGTGGGTGGGCTTGGTGGAATCCAAGATTCGGATCCTGGTTGGGAGCTTGGAGAAGAATGAATTTATTACGCTGGCACATGTGAATCCACAGTCATTTCCGGCACCCAAGGAGAACCCTGACAAGGAGGAGTTTCGCACGATGTGGGTGATCGGGCTAGTCTTAAAGAAGCCAGAAAACTCTGAAATTCTCAGTATTGACCTCACCTATGATATTCAGTCTTTCACAGATACAGTGTATAGGCAGGCAATCAATAGCAAGACGTTTGAAATGGATATGAAAATTGACGCAATGCATTTGAGAAGAAAAGAACTTCACCAGCTGCTCCCCAATCATGTGCTACAGAAGAAGAAGCACCCTGCTGAGGGCGTCAGGTTGACAGCTGTGAGTGACAGCAGCCTCGGCACCGACAGCGAGAACAGCATGCCCGTGCCTTCGCCCACTGGCCTCGTGACGGGCAGCTGCCCGGGCAGAAGCAGCCCTGCCCCGGCTGTCCTGTCAGTGTCTCTGGGCAGCAGCACGCAGCCCTCTGAGGTCGCCTCGCAACCCCTGAGTCCCAGCGAAGGCGCTGGGGCTGTGCTGAGTGAAGGCGGCCCTCAGACTGCCTCACAACCAAAGCCCACCGTCACCAGAGTCGTTTCTTCAACGTGTCTGGTGAGCCATCCACCCATACCTGCAGGAAGTGCAGCAGCCAGCATCCCTAACCCCATAGTAGGAGTCTAGGGACACTGACCTCACGGGAAAGGAGGGTAGAAACAAGAACACACGAGGAGCAACCCGGGAGAGACAGTTACAGATGAGGTGCAAGTGTTCGGCGGGCAGCTTCTCTGTCGGCCTCTCAGGAAACGTCCAGCACAGATTTCCCTCCATCCCTGGTCCTGCCAGTCAGACAGGTGGACTGGAGAGAGACGACTGCCAGCTCAGCCTGCTGTCTTCACATCCCAGAGAAGGAGAAGGAGGCCGGCAGACGGCTCAGCGCGGACTCAGAGCAGACTTGGGCTCCTCTGGTTGCTTCGTTCATGGGCTGATCTGGGTCGGGACTCCAGGTTGGTAAGTGAAGCTGGGAGTGCTGTCACTTAGCACCCGCAGAAGGTGCATCCACTCCCGCAGAGGACTGCCGCCCTTGAAGAAGAGAAAACCTCCAGCTGTATTTACATCCACGACTGACATCTGGACTGCATTTATGCTTGATGCATTGTTGGGAGAATTGCCAGTCTAACCAACAGAATTCTTTATGCCAGTGATGCACTTTAGAACTAATTTTAGATTTTTCAACTTGATGAATTTCAGTTCTTTCCTGAAGAGGTTTTTATCACAATCTTAAAGTTAGGTACCCTTACATAGCAGTGTACCATACATCAGAGAAAGCATTAAGTGTTATCTAGCTCAGTGCCTGTGAGAGAGCTGTCACCCTCTGAAAGGCAATGTCCACTCCAAGGGTAGACATTTGACATCAAAACAGTGACTAGTAAAGCTTTGGTTTTCATGGGACATGGTCACGATGTGATACATTGGTTTTATCTGTGAAATTATTATAGAGACTGTATAATCAGTGATCAGACATTTTCTTGGAGCTAACAAAGCCTACTCTCTGTCCTCAATCATTTGTCCTAACACAAAAGAAGCTTTTTGCCTCCCCTGTCTGTTTTCTTTGCTTGTATGCACAAGGGATGTGCTTGTATGTTGTCTCATTAAAAACGGGATACTAGTATTTTCTAAACCATGATGTGAAACTCAGACTCTTGTGGTCATGGGGCACAAAGCACCAGATCTGGGTTGCATGGCCAGTACTTCAGTGAAGCCTTGCTAATACGGTGCCCTTGAGACCCAGTACTGCCCTTAGGTGGCCGTTTGGTTTCCATAGATGGGGATTTGTGTACATTCCATAGAATATGACCTGCCTATAGAGAAGTCCAATTCTGAAAATATAGGCAAAAAAGGCATTTTCTCCAAGAATGTCAAACCAGTGTTTATTTTAAAGTGACCTGCCAGAATCCGTCAGTAAATGTTACGTGTAGAGACAGGAAAAGCTTGGGCAAGCACATCCCGTCCAGCTGGCTTTCTCTGCTTTTGATTAGTCCTGCCGAAGATGAGGAATACTTTTCTTTAGATTCACAGGAGGAGCCCTCACGGTGAAGCGCCAGGAGTCTGCGTGTAGGGAACACGAGGGACAGCGGGTGAGAGCCTGCCGTGTTCTGTCTGCGTCCTGTCCAACCCCGGCATGCCCAGTGGGCGGTCGGTGAGACTGCTTCTGGCTCCGCCTCTTCTCCCCCCTTCCCAGCTGCCTTCCTTTCCACCGCACATGTGGTTTTCACGTTAAGCTGCAGTTAAACTTTAGACTATCGTTTTAGATGAATTTTCCAAGTTGGAGTAGTCTGTTTCCTTGTAGGCAGTGAGCGGGTGAGACCTGCTCTCCCCGCCGCACTCGTGTCTGCTACGCAGCGTTTCTGCGTCCTGCTGCTCTGTGCACGCGCCCTGCCATTCACCACCATAACACATCTAGCTGTGCACGGGCTCTGTGCGGACCAGCTAGCTGTGGGTTTAGGTTGAACTTGCCAGGCACCAATGTAGTCTTGTCATTTTGTTTACATATTTGGAAAAACGTTAGTTTATTAAATGTTTCATGTTACTACCTTCTTTTCCCAAGCTGGAAACTTGGGAGCTTTTAATTTTAGTTTTGATTCCTTGAATATTAGACTATTTTTTCCATATGATGTACGTAGTGCCTTATGACTGAAGTTTGCTTTGTTAACTGGTATCTGTACTCCTTGTATTTTCAAGTGCTATTTTGAAAACAGATGATGTATTTCTCCATTAAAAACACAATAAAAAGTGGCAAAGTGAAGCTAAAATACTGGCCAATATTAACGTTTAAATCTGAGGATGAGAATTGAGCTGTTACTTTTGCTGGAGGAGAGTGGAGATACTGAGGAGCGTTCTGACTTAGAATTCACATTAGAATGTCCGGGGAAACGGAAAGGTTAAGTTCCAAGTCAGTAGGGGTGAGAGATGGAGTCGGCGGCTTAATCCAGAAGAAAGGGTGAGAAGCACAGAAGAGGTGGGACCCAAAGCAAATGCAACCCTAGGCGATGGAAATGAAGCATGGGTCACTACTGCAGGAAGTGGACGTCACTTGCTGACCCAAGGACACGGACAGCTAGAGCCCTTGGAGGAAGGAGGTCCAGCTTGGGCGGGAAGCCTGGGGGAGAGATGCTAATGAAGTTGGTTTAGTGACAGTATCATTCAAACACATTTCACAGCAGAAGGAAGTGCAGGGGCCAGCGGGGCGGCTGCTGCTGGTGCGCCAGGAACATGGAATGATCTAAAGTATCCTTAAGGCAGCAAGGCCGAGATGGACGGAATTGCCACCGTGACTGTCGTGGGCTCAAGAGCAGCGCTCTGAGCGGAGACGTAAGGGCGACGGTCGCTGAACACCCTCTGCTGGAATGGCTGGCGAGCTTTCTCTGCCAAGTGCTCATACTAAGCCTTTGCAGCCGTGTGAGGCGGATGACTGCCCCGTCGTGGAGTGCGGTGTAGCCGCAGATGGCCGGGGCTGGACGTGTCGCCTGTCCTGCCGCTTGCCATCAGCGGCCAGTGGTAGACATTTGTTGTGGCACACTGCACATTTCCCTCAAATTGGGAAGCGCACGTTATTCTCAAGTACGTATTGAGAGTGTACACACAGGCCCCTGAGGCCACGTCAGAAGGTAGTTCATGGGGTGTGTACTCACTGCAGGACAGTGGACGTGGCACAGAGAAGCTGAGGCTGTGAAGGAAGCGATGGACGTGGTTAGAAGATTCTGTCAGGTGGTGAAGTGCTGCAGAACAGGCGCCATGGCCGTGTGGTGGGTCACTGCTCAGCCACGGCAAGGCGCCAGCACCGAGGGGAGGCGGCCTGCGCGGAGTCACAACGGCCCCTGTCTCCTGGGGGAAGGAAAGTGAGGGGCCTGGGGAGAGAAGCGTAGGGCTGGGAGGGCCCCTAGAGGGGTTTGGGACACCCCCTTCCCCAGGAAGGCCTTGCTGGTGCCTGGGTTTCCAAGGAGTGGGCAGCGGGGGAAGCTGGCTGTGGTGGTCAGAGCCTGCAGGAGCAGGGACGGGCTGTCGTAGCTGGTGACCGTGCTGTGTATCTGACGCCTTCTGGTGTTGGATAGAAACTGTTGGGGGTTGAACTTAGTCCCCTCAAAATCTTGAGTTGTAGCCCACACCCCCAGTATCTTAGAATGTCGGTGAGTTGGGAGGCAGGGCCTTTAAGGGCAGTTAGGTGACGATGAGGTCCTGTGGGCGGGCAGTAACCCTCAGTGAGCAGAGGAGGTGGGACACAGACACACGCTGCAGGAACACACGGGGGCCCCCTGGGGTCCCAGCCTCCAGAGGTGTCAGGCCGCGCGGCCTGCAGTGTGGTGTTGCACAGCCCCAGGAGGCCCGTTCCTTTCTCAGTGCCTGTCCTCGTGGTCCGTCGCTGATGACGAGGAGATGCAGAGCGAGGTCACAGTCCAGACGCCGCAGGAATGACTCAGTGAGTCTGAGAAGAGGCTTCGAGGACTAGAACCAGAATCACTGAGAGGCTGGGGAGCGGGAGGAGCTGGTGTGGTCTTGGCGGGGTGTTAGGGGTGGAGACGTGGCCCAGCAGGAGGATTGTGAGTGCCAGACACAGCCCCTCAGGGAGTGGGTCTCCCTCCCTCCCTCCCCCCACCTTTTAAAAAGACTCATTTAAGACCTTTCTTTCTGTCTCTCCCTCTCACTAACTCTGTCAAATAAATTTTAAAAAAAATTTAAAAAAGATTTATTTATTTATTCAAAAGGCAGAATTGAAGCGAGGCAGAGAGAGAGAGAAGTCTTCCATCCACTAGGTCACTCCCCAAATGGCCACCATGGCAGGAGCACACTGCCCGTTGTTGGCCACGTTCCACTCCAAGATTGTGGAGTCACCTCCGCGCCTCAGATGAGGCCGCACCGTCTCCCCTTGCTGGAGTCGGGAGGCTCTGTCTCCACCTGTGCCTGGCTGACAAATGGCACAAGCACCCTAGCTCCTCAGTTACCTATTGTCTTAATTAGGCCTGCAGCCTTGCTTCCTGGGTGTGACTCTAGTTAGTACGTGCAGGGCCATTCTTCATCACCGAAACAAGGCTCTTCAGTACTTTAAAGCAATGATTTTTCCCCACTGAAAAAACAGACCCTTTCTATTTTAAACATTTATTTCAGAGGGTTTGCTATACAATTGCTTGAGTCCCCACCCCCACCCCATGAGATAAACTCAGAATTTCTGTTTGAAAGGATTTTTCTCACTGCTTTTTTAAAGTGCTACAGCATTCAAAAAAGCAGTTCTTTGAGCCAGCATCTGAGATGTTTAGAAGGGGTCACAAAAATAATCTATAGAATTAGATGTCTAAAAATAGAAAAAAGAACACTTAAAAAATGCTCACTTAGGGG